GACTGGATTACTGCTACACTTACTGGCAAACCAGAGTAGGGGGTGGGCCTGGTGGGGGTTATTGCGGGTGGCTCCAACTAGGCTGCAGCTCCCACTGGTTTTTGTGAGGGCCAAGTATGTGCTGGGCAGAAACAGGCTGGACTGCAACACCCATTGGTTCCAGTGGAAGTTGGGAGTGAAAACAGAAACAACCCAGCAATTACAACCACCAGCTGATTGGGGCGATGGACGGTGCCAGGCCCTGTACTTGTTAGCACATACAAGAATCTGGTTTGAGAACACCTCAGACAAAGTTTGTTTGGAGATCTTCCTACTCTAAATGCTGGACTCAGAACCCTAACCAAGAAAAGAGAGAAGACAGAACAAAAACAAGTCAACCAACCATCTCCACTACGATGGACTAAGTCAATCAGTGGATTTTTCAAAGACCTCATAGTGCTTGGAGTGGCAAGATTGGCAGCGATTCATAACTGTTGAAATATCAAAACCACTTGAGCAAGAATCTCAGAGCATGCACTACATCTGGGACCTGGGGAGGGTGGGAAATTGGGTGGGCCTTCTCCCTTAATACCCTCCTTTAAACATGAAGGAAACAATATGGAAAAAATACTAGTCTTATCCACTTTCCCGTAGCCCTTGAACCTTTTTACCCTAATTAACTATGTAAAGATTGTCAAAATAAAAAAATAAATAAGGAAAAAAAACAAATAAATGAAAATAGACAATAAACAGAAGGATACAGCTTTATTAAAAAAATAAATAAATGGAGAGCATTCCAAAGTTGGTTTGTGAAGTCAGGAGTTTGGAACTCAGAACACTTATGTTTTCATAGAAGAAACTCTACAGAGAGGCCAGAATATGGGCTAGCCCACTTAGTTTAACTCACATTGCACCTGAAACACAATTGTGATCAGATTTAGTGAATAGTGTGTCCATGGGACCAAGTACTTACGATTCTACTGTTTTCAAGTGGCCAACACTGATTACAACAACTTCAACTAGTCTCCTGAATCACTTCCCTGTTAGTCCTCAAATCAATGACCAGGAAGAGGAGTTATTCGTATCACACATCAGTTCTGACATGTATTAAGTTAAACTCTTTTTTTCCCCTAATCTGGTTTTAGGCACTTCAGAAATTGAGTAAAAGTGCAAAACCTTGGCTGGACCACTTCAAGTTGGGTCTTGCCCTGTCACCTTCCGGGTGCTCTGTCTGCACTCTAACACTAAGCTGGCTGCAGAGAGCAGACACCACTGTCACCATGTTTATTGCCACACTGAAATGGTTTTTGTTGTTTCTACCTTATCTTGCCTGTCTGCTGTAGGTTTTTACTACTTGGCCTTCTAATTTCATATGACTCTGCAGTCACTAAGTCACAAAAACATTTAGGGCCACAGTGATCCCAGAAATGGCAGCAGCAGATTCCACTGGAAGCTATACAAATAGACCACAGCCATGGCAAGGCTGGGAAGAACCTTAAAGGCCTGTCTTGTCTGTTCTCTGGCTTCCGGGCAAGTCAACCATTCCAAAGAGATGAGAGCTAACCTCTATTTTGGAGAAGGATGACTTTGCCTTTTAACTCTCTGAGTCCAACAACAGAATGACATCATTAGTAAATGATGGTGAATTTTTAATCCCCAAATGTTCCATTGCCAAACTCAATTACATGTCACTTTCTCGTGTTGGCTCCTCAAGGAAAACAAAAGAGGGTTAATCTGTGTAGGATCCCTGGCACTTGTAACAGATTTTCTGTTCCTTCTTCTATCCAGGACAATCTCTGGGCTGCTTGTCTTGTCGTTCTCTGTAGTGCTTGCCCCCTCAACAGGAATGAAACCTCAAAACACTAGCCCATGTATGTGTTTTACTGGTGTGTGAGAACTGAGTATGGTAACATGCATGGGAATATTTAAGTATAATCTGAGAACCAGGCACTAGGATTTTGACTTGAAGGAAAGCCAACTAAGAATCACAATGAAATAGACCTTCTTTTTTATAGTTGCTTTCTTTTAGGTAGTTTAAAGGACATCATTAGCGTAAGCATATTAGCTCTTCAACCAAGGGAGGAAGCCAAAGAGAATCAATCTCTAATACTTATTTATAAAATGTGTGTGTGTGTGTGTGTGTGTGTGTGTGTGTTTTCCCTAAGGAACCCACATCATGGGACTATGAGCTGCCAAGTTCAAGAGTTTTTTTCTTTTTCTTTTTTTTTTTTTCTGCTGCAGGCATTTGGCCTCGTAGCTTCATCCCATTTCCCAGATGTGAATAGCTTGCATCACATTTCTCAGGGCCTGGGCTGGATATCTGGCACTTCTCTAGCATTTGATAATGCACACCTTGGGAAGCAACAAGTGACGCCTCAAATAGTCGGGTTCCTGACACACACACAGAAATCTTGAATTTAGTTGATGGCTCCTGGATTTAGTTCAGTCCAGCTCTAACCTTCACAGGCACCACAGAGTAGATTAACAGATGGGAGCTCTCTATTTCTCTCTCAAATAAGCAAATAAACTTGTTATTTAGAAATGCTTTGATGTGGGTTTTCAAAGGAACGGGTATTTGGATCTCTATAACATGCTGGCTAGTTACAGCAAGTACTATTGGCTGTTATTCTGATACATTTTCTAACATTTATTTATTTGAGACACAGAGTGACAGTAAGCTGTGGGGTGAGAGAGAAGGAGCGATCTTCTATCCACTGGTTTACTCCTCAAATGTTCACAATGGCTGGGGCAGGGCCAGGCTGAATTCAGGAGCCATGAACTCCAGTCCAGTCAGGTCTTCCACATGTGTGGCAGGGACCAAAATGTATGGGCTGTCCTCTACTGCCTTTGCAGGTGCATTAGTAGGCAAGGGAGTGGGTCAGAGGCAAAGCAGCTGGGAGACAAATGGTGGCTCCGGTCAGGGATGAAGGCACTGCAAATGGCAGCTTAACAATGGCACTACCAACCAAAAAAACAAAACAAACAAACAACTCAAGAAATGGGCACGGGAAATGGGCAAACATTTCACAAAGGAACAAGTCCAAATGGCAAACAAACATATGAAGAAATGTTCCAGCTCCCTAGCAATAAGGGAAATCCAAATTAAAACATCGATGAGGTACCACCTAACACCAGTAAGATTGGCCCACATAAACAAGAACACCAACGACGCTTGCTGGCGAGGATGCGGGAAAAGGGAACCCTACTCCACTGCTGGTGGAGCTGCAAATTGGTACAGCCTTTATGGAAATCAGTCTGGAGAACACTCAAACAACTCAAAATCTGCATACCATATGACCCAGCAATAGCACTCCTAGGAATATATCCAAAACACCTGTTTTACGACAAACCAACATGCATCCCTATGTTCATTGCAGCACAATCAGTAATTGCAAAAACATGGAAGCAACCGAAATGCCCATCAGCAGAAGATTGGATAAGAAAGCTTTGGCTCATCTACTCCATGGAATACTACTCAGCTATTAAAAAAAACAAAATGCAGTTCTTTGTGGCTAAATGGGCACAACTGGAAACTATAATGCTAAGGGAAATGAGCGAATCCCAAAAGATTAGATACCACATGTTTGCCTTGATTTAACCTGTAATTTTTTGTTTGGTTGTTTGTTATTTTTTGAACCTGTCATTGATACTGTCTCAACCCAGATGTTTCGAAGAAGGGAACTTGCATTATTTTTAACATATTGTTTACCCAATACTATGTCAATTAATTCCATAATGTTGTATATTGATACTGAGGCCTTGTTGGGGCTTTTAACTGACCGGATCTTTACTCTGTTAGACCTATCTTCAGACCATAGAAGGTCTCCCCAAGAGGCCACTGAACTTATCTGGACAATAAGATGCTGAACTTTATGCTAGGCATGTGTTTGCAAGCAATGAATCTCAACTGAACTTGAACTATGGTTATGCAACAAGGTGGAGGGGTATGGGAGGGGTATGGGAGGGGTGGGGGGAATCCCCAGCGCCTATAAAACTGTACTACATAATACAATGTAAGCAACAATAAAAAAAAAAAAAAGAAAAGAAAAAAAAAACCTTAAAAAAAAAAAACAATGGCACTACCATGCCAGCTGGTCTTTAAACTCTCACCTTCTCCCAAGCTTAAAGAGAAAGATGGGATTAGTAAATCAGGATGGTACCTCTTGGTATGTGAGGTTCTGCATCCCACAAAGGTGAGGATTATATCTAGCAGCAATGTGTGTTCCATATCTATGATCTCAATCTGAGAATAAAACACAAGCCTTGACTCTTTATCACACTCATGTATCAGTCATGGGGTGGCTGCTCACCCTGAGTGTCCAAGGGGACAGCAGTAACGTTTCAAGATCAAACGGATAGACTTGACCTTGAGGATGCTAAATCCATTTCTTCACCATCAGCAACAGCCCTCCATGGAGGCTACACAAAGATTGCCACCCTATCTTGGCATAGGTTGCACAGCTCCTCTAAGGGACAGAACCCCTGGCTTGCCACAAACATGGTCATTTGCTTGATTCAGCCATACTAGGACATGAGTGCTTGCTGATTCCAAGACCAAGCAAACCCTGATTTATCATAGCCAGAAACATACCCCCGATCAATCAATTAGATTCCTCATTCAAAGCTTTTCCTTTACTCTATCAAGACCTAGCGCCAGGTAAGAACAGGCAGACAAAGAAAATGGTCTGATTGGGGCTACAAAGATACCAACAGTGGTTAAGTTCAGTGCTGTCTCTGTTTGAGATTGATGTACTGCTAATTTCAGCTAACAAGATGATGACAAGTGTACAATTTACTTCACTAGTGCTACTAAAAGTATCCATTCTGGGAAACTGCCCAGTTTACACAGCTCCCACACAACCCTCCACTTAAACTCCCCTCCACTTTCTGGAAAAAAATACAGCATAATTGGCATTCTGGTATTCATTCATGGCAGTTTGTAGAATGTCCTGGAAGACACCCATGAATTACACAAATCAATCAAAGCTCAATGCAACTTAGGGATGGGAAAGGGGAATCACCTGTTCGTTTTTGGTGAGCCTGGTTTTGTTGTGGATGTCTGAGGTGACTAGATTGAAGCCATGCTTCTCCGACAAGATTCGCAGCAGCAGGACCACGGTGCGGCTCCCACACTTGCCTACTCTGTTGTACACCACCTGACTCGGGAATGGCAGGACCTGGAAGACGGAGAACGTGCATGAGACACATATATTCAAACACATAGTATTCTTCCCCTCTCTCCCCAACAGCATACGCTCAGTCAGTCTGGCTGAGAAGGATGCACATGAAGCCGGTAGCAAATACTCTCCATCTTCAGCTTTGCCCCCAACCCTTAGGCCTGAAGACCATTTATCTACTTTCTGCCTCATGGTTTTCCTTTTGAATTCTGGATTATTATGTAAATTGGGTCATAAAACATGAGGCATTTTAGGTCTAGCTTCTTTCCTAAGTTCATCTGTATTGTAGTATAAATCACTACCTCATTCCTTACGTAGGTGAATACTATTTCGTTTCACACAATATATTGTATCTACACATCAATGGATGGCTGTGTGGATTGCTTCCACTTTTTGGTTACTATGAATAATGCTACTACGAACATTTATGTACCAATTTTTGTGGAGACATATGTTTTCAATTATCTTATGTATGTATCCAGGAGTAGAAGTGCTGGATCGAATGGCAATCCAATATTTAATTTTCTGAAGAACTGCCAAACTGTTTTCACTACAGCTGTGTTCTTCCACATTCCCACCAGCAAGGTTAGAGAGCTCCAGTTTCCCACATCCTTGCCAGCGCGTGTTAATGCCCTTTTATTATTATATCCATCCTAGTATTGTAAAATGCTATCTCAGTATGATTTTGATTTGTCTTTCTCTAATGTTACCTTTTCACGTGTGTTTTGGCCATTTGGATACTTTCTTTAGAAATCTTTCTATTTCAGTCCTTTGCTCATTTTAAAATTTTGTATTTTTATTACTGAATTTTATGAGTTCCATATATGTGTGTGCTGGCTTTTCAAGTGTATTTCTCCAATTCTCCAGGTTGTTTTTTGTTTTCTCATGTCCCTCGATGCACAGATGTTTTCTGTTTCGATATAGTAATAATTATCTACTTTTTCTTTAGTTGCTGTGCTTTCGTTGTCATAGCTAAGAAACCATTTAATCCAAGATCACAATGAAACCTATGTTTTCTCCTGTAAGTCTTATAGTAATCATTTTTAGTATGTAACTTTGAGCTATTTTGAGATAGTCTTGTACAGGGTGTCCAGCACCATTTGTTGCAGTGATTATTCTTTCCGCATTTAACTGTTTGGTTCCTTATTTGCAAGTCCTAACTTATCTCTTGACTCTCAACTATTCTGTTGACCTATATGCTTATCCTTACATGAATGCTGTGTGGTCTTTTATTACTACAGATTTGTCTGAAGCTTAGAATCACAAAGTTGAATCCTTCCAGCTTTGCTCTTCCTGATTGTTCAAGACTAGTTTTGGCTACTCTGTTTTCCTTGCATTTTCATAAGAATTTAGAGATTAGCTTGTCAATTTCTTTAAGAAGGTAGTGGATATTTTGAAAGGGATCACATCCAAAGTGCAGATCAATTTTATGACTTTTATTATCTTAACAATATCAAGTTCTCCAATCCATGAACATGAGATATCTTTGTATTTATTTCTCCTTTGTTTAACTGATATTTTTTAGTTTTCATTGTGTAGGTCTCTGCACATTTTGTACTCCATTTATTGAGTTATTCTTTTGATGCTATCATAGATGAAATCCTATTCTTAATTTCATTTTTGGATTAATTATTCATTAAGAGAAATTCAATTAATTTTTGTATATTGATTTTATGTTGTGTCATCTTGTTGAACTCATGTATAGATTTTTGAAGACGTATTTATTTATTTAAAAGGCAGTTACAGAGAAAAGATATCTTTTATCTACTGGTTCACTCCCCAAATGGCTATAATGCTGGGTACTCTGCTGGGCGGAAGCCAGGAAGCTGGATGGACTCCATGATAACCTCCGACACCGGTGGCAGGGGCCAAGTACCTGGACTGTCTTAAGCTGTGTTCCTGGGACATCAGTAGGGATCTAGATGAGAAATAAAGTATCCGAGTCTTGACCAGTGCCCACATGGGATGCCAATATCGAAGGTAGTGGGTTAATCTATTGATCCACAATACCAGACACACTATAACAGATATTTTATGTGTATTCTTTAGGACTTTTTTAATATACAAACTCAAGTCTTCTGGAAATCAAGAGAGTTTTATTTCTTCCTTTCCAATATGGATGCCTTTTCTTTCTTTCCTAATTGTTCAGTAGCAATTATTTTGATATGCTAAGAAGTCAGTAAGAAAAGCATTTATGATTAAATATTTATGTCCCAATCAAGACATAAATTTCATTTTGAATGCTCAGCATTAAACACCTGATGACAAAGGATAATGAAAGGATTCTTTCAGTTAGCACATATCAGTAAGAGAAAGATTATCAAAAAGTTGTAAGCTAAAGAGTAATGGTACAGTCCAAAAACATCAGTATATCCAAAACTTGCCTATGATATACCTTTTGGATTTTTGCCTTAACAATTACAGTTAACCTTTTCCTGTAATACACCATATACAGAGTAGCATTTCACAAATTTTGAGCTTGGAAGCTAATTGCCATTAGATGAAACATAACATATACATCATTTACAGCCATGTGCTGTTGTGATATAATTCTGTGGTGTGTGTGTGTGTGTGTGTGTGTATACATGTTTTATGAGGAATGGTCTATTTTTTCAGGTTCAGGTCATGACTAAAATGTGTCTTGACATGCCTAGTATGTGTGTTGTAACAGTCTTGGTAGATGCCATCTGGTTATTCTCAAAGATTTAATACACTATTTACCACCAATTAACACAATGATTCTGCTAACATGTGAGACCAAGAGGATCTTCAAGTACAACTGGTCTTCTTGACCAAAAGTTAATACAAGGCATCAGGGTAAAAGATAGTATCACAAGAGACACTTTTATCATGGTTTACTCATCAAGTGGCCCTCAAGAATATGTTCTCTGGCAACCTTGGAAACCAGATAGACACATCAGTTATGTCTGTAGTGAGGTGATCAGCAAGGTTGATCTGGCTACATATTTAATAGAATGACATCAATAGTTTTGGTAAGTTGGACTGTCCATTATAACCAGGCGAGGTGCATTGACTACAGATGTAACAGAGCTGCCAACATGAACACAGTTTAATTCCTCTGTAGAAATAAATGGTTCAATAAATAGGGTAAACACACTTCTTTCCTGTCTTATAGCACAGCACTGAACATCAGGGAAGAATGTATTACAACTGAAACTGACCTAGAAATGTGAGTTACCACCTAGGTGAATACTTTATTCCATGAGGGGTATGTATCTTAGAAGGTTTAAACAAAAAGACTGAAGCACATCAGTCTTTTGGATAAAAACATTTAACTTGGGTAAAAACATTCAACTTCTGTTGAACTGCTTGGATAACTAATGCGCTTGTAGGCTTGATGTTTTCTGATTCCTTTTGCTAAAAGCCAATGATGTTATTAACCTTCAAGTTATTGACTAATTAGTTTTTTAAAATGTTAATTTCAACTCTTTCATTAGTTTTATGAGAAGCCGCCGAATAATGGTTATAGACATTTACTATTTCAAAAATAACACTTATATAAGAACAAAAGTCCCTGTACTGCACCTGCAGCAGCACTTAGAACAATAATTGAAAGGAAAGGAACATGACGTCCGTTTTGTGATTCTATTTCTACTGTTTCTGTAAACACCAATACACAGCTCCATAGCAGGGACATAGAGCTAGGGAAAGTGTTTTGATACAAAACTGCTGGAGTCAGACTGCACCTTTTTACACAGCATGCACCACCACAAACCAACATCTCTTGAATTTATGGCACATCTTTTAAATTACATTCTAAACTGAACATAATACATTGCAAAGTGCTAGTGGAGGCTACATCAATGTGTTGATGTTGGATAAGGTGGTAAACAGCAAGTGGGTTCATCTCTGCTCTTAGTAAAACCATAGATTTGTTTCTTAAAGTCTGTAAGAATTACTGTCACCTTTTACTTTAGATAGACTTTCTGCAAAGATGACCAAAAATAGCACTATGTTTTTGGGAGGACTGACTATTCTGGGCAGTGTGCTGTGTAAACCCATTTAATTTCTGTCAATAATACTGAATCAAACAGCATATCTGTCTGTTGTTTTAACTGTGCATTTCTTTAAGGTTGAAAAGATCAAATGTCTTAAAGCATCATTGATGGAACTCAAGTGACTCTCCTGCCTGCCCCTCTCTTACCAGAGAGCACAGGTTCACAGAACAATGGGGTTTCGGGTCTTAGAAGCAACTCGGTCATCTATGCTTTCCAATTTCCATCCCAGCAGGATCACGCTCCATCACCTAAACTGCATGTCCCATGGATGGAATGCGACTTTACATTGTGTCATGTCACTCCCTCAAAATCTCTCTGAAGTCCACATGGTGATTATTTTTCAGTGAGTAAACTGAGGCCCAGAGAGATCCCTTGGTCTTTGCAAGGTCACAAATGTGAAAAGTGAAAGTGGCACACATGGCAGTGAAAATCTGGCTCCCTGCTCACCTGACCCCGTACACTGCCTTCAGGATATGGTAAGTCAACTGGAGTGAAGGAGTTTTGCCTCAACTTCTGTGACTGAGAGACTATTTGCTTTTTGATGTTTTGTGAGAATCCAAGCTCCTCATTGAGTATGCTATTTTTTTTTAAATATATTTTGGTTTTGATGATGCTTGAGAGGAAGGTATGCCCATATGCCCATACTGCCCACTGATTAGGGTGGGAAGGGTCAAAGAATGGGGGAAAGTGAATGAGACAATTGTTTCTAATTTTTCTTTTCTTCCTGTATCTGGGGGAAGAAGGGAGGAGAAAGCTGCTCCCAGCAGCCCAACCACATTAGTACCCAGGAATGGGGGACAGCCACTCAATGTCATCCTGATGTGGAGTACATTCCAAGCATGCTGCTTAAGGGATTTCAATAATTCTGAAATGCTGCAGCTGATTTCACTGCTCCAAGGTTGAGGAGATCCGTCCAAGGTTTACTGAATAACACAGTTCATCTTAGAGGCTCCACTAGCCCAGATACTTGCTGTCTAAGCT